GCCAGATTTAGCTACCTGTCGGGTATCTTTCGCTGGCCTCAACTTCTGGTTTTGGTTATTTGTCACGAAAAAGAAACACGCACTAGGCCCGGTTCCTGTTTTATTTTGTTTTGAAGCGAAAAAAGCGCCGGTGAGGCCGGCTCCGGATTTATTGTGTTTTCAAGCGTAAAACCGCCGGGGCCAGGGGAAGGCCTTGTACCAGGCCGTTTAAGCCAATCTCAATTCCACCGAGGGCCCAGGGTGAAGCTAGTATGGGTAGGATGAGAGGGGCCGGGGCTCCCGGACGGGTGAGGACGCAGGGCACTTTAGTTACGCGGGTGGGCTAGGGACTGCAGCAAGCCACACTCCTACCGGACAGACTGCACTCCTAAAAACTCCACTCTGAGGCCCCAGCGACGCAAGCCCGCCCACCCGAAGCCCCAGCCCCTGCCCCTCTACTCTTGAACCGCGAGCGCAGAAAGAAAAAGGTAAGCGCAAGGCCAACGGGAGGACCTACGGGTTCGGGAAGCACACGCGCACTCACTTGCAGGGCAGCAGGGGAAAAACTAGCGCCACTAGGGGAAAAAAAGAACCCCGGCACTTAGTGGGGAGAGCCGTGCGGCACACTTCTGTTTGTTTTCCAAAAAATCTCGACACTGCCGGCTTTGGACGACCTCAGCGGCCTCTGCGATCGCCTTCATGGCCTGTGTCGCTTTCATTGCCTTCATGGACTTCGTCGCCTTCATTGCCTCCACGGGCCGGCCCATCGCCCAGCACAGCGCGCATGGCGGACGATATCTCCACCGCGCTCCATCCGCCAGCGCTGAACAGCCAGCACCGCGATCTCAGCCTCCTCCGGCGTCAACTCCGCGTCGTTCGCCTCTGCAACCAGCATGCCATGTCCTCGCAATGCGAGGATTCGCCTTGCCAACAAAGCGGCGTCCGCATCTGTCTGCCCTCCGCCCGCCGCCTTCTCCACCGCCGCCGTCAAAGCCGCAATCGCCTTCAGGAGCCTTTCAGTCGGTCGCCAGCCACCCAGATTGCCAAGCTGTTCCTCAAGGTGCGCTGCCTCCTCGGCGGACGGTGGCCCAGACTGCGAGGAGGCCATGGATCCGATTGTGCCTTTTCAGCCGCTTTTGTTGCTAAGTGCTGCCATGCTGCTCAATGCTGCCATGCTGCTAAATGCTGCCATGCTGCTAAATGCTGCCGCGCTGCTGCATACTGTGTTGCTAGATTAAGTCTGCTATCCTACCTCACACACCTACCTTCGAGGAGCGAGCGCGGCAAAAACAAAGCTGAGTGCAGGGACGCCGGGTGGGAGAGCCTACGGGTTAGGGCGGCAGGGCACTCACAGGGCAGACGGGGAGCAAAGCCTACTTCGGGACTGAATGGGTCAGGGTGCCCTGAACCAAACCAAAAAGCAACCCCGGCAAAAGCACTCTAGCAAAATGTTACTGCAAAAGTCGGCGGGCCTAGCTAGAATACCACTACAAATCAAAAAAAACTTCAATGAGCAAAGGCGAGCTTGAAGGAGCATCCTGGTGAGACTGCATCCTAAACCCCCACGGATCAGGTCGGCGATAGCCACAGGCTCGCCGCGAATCGACACTGAGCGGCTGTGTCGCTTCTGGCCGGCGGGCCCGGCAGGGTGTGTGAAACATAGGCAGGGCGCACCCCGAGAATCGGAGGCGCGGCGGTTCCGTGCTGTGTTCGACCCATCCTAAACCCTCCCCGACCACGTTCCGGGGCTGGCCGGCACCGATTTGACAGGAAAGGCCCGATCCGGCCGAAATCGTGCTCAAACCCTAGGCGGGGCGCACACCAAAATCGGGCTCTCGCCGGTGCGTGGTCGGCTCGCAAAACGGCCGGCTGCCGGGGGCCGTCGGGGCGCACCCTCCCCGAGCGGCTTCAAAATCCCGAAAAATTGGGGTGCGGCATGGTGTTTTAGGGCCATGCGTGTTTGGAGTGATAAATGCTGTCAATGTAAAAAATGGATTTGGCGTGCCCGCCACGGAGGAGCCGACCGAAGCCAATCTCGTGCGACTGCTGGATCTGGCGGACTGGAAGCACCGGGGCCGCACTCGGGCGGTGGGGCCGGGGGCCTATGAGCGATATGCCACGCTGGGGCTTTTCGGGCACGGCGGCGTGGTCGGGGTCTCCAATGCCACGGGCCTGCGGGATGCCTGTGCCGCTTGCCGCTGTGAATTGCTTTCTCAAGAGCCGCTTTCCGAACGGCACCTGGACGTCCATCGCAGTGCTCTTCAACCCTCGCATGGGGCTGCACCGCGACATTCAGAACATGCCAGTCATGCGCTTGCTCTGGGTGATTACACAGGAGGGCGGGTGTGGATCGAAGATGACGAGGGGGACTCCACGGCTTGGCTGGCCGATAAGAAAGGGGAGCGAGAGCTGCGGGGGCGGTGGCTGGACATGCACGAGAAACCGGTGAGCTTCGATGCTCGCCGGTATCACATGGTAGAGCCACACGAGGGCAGCATGTGGGCGCTCGCAGCTTATGTTCCGCAAGCCTATGCTCGGGCGACGGAGCAGCACCGGCAGGCGCTGAGAGAAGCGGGCTTTCCGCTGCCTGCATCATGAGAGCAGCCCGGCATCGAAGCGGGCGGAGCACTGCGGGCCGGGCCGGGGCGAAAGGGCATCAAAAGCATCAAATGCATCAAATGGGGCTTTCGGAACTTTTATAGCTTTTTTCTCTCTCTGGGGAGTGTGCTGTTCCAGCGCTCCACTCTGTGATAGCTACAAGCCTTAGTTCGAGACATAGGTCAGAATTCGATACTTTGGAGCACTGTCGATTCGCGGGCTTACGGCCCGCAGCTCTGACGATCTTAGGGGCTCTAAAGTCTTTGCAAAACGGGCTTTAGAGGAACTTTAGGGGCGCGCAACTCGCCAGCAGCTGACGAGCACTCGCCAGCAGCTTACGAGCTACTTGCTGGCAACTTACGAGCACTGGCCAGCAGCTCACGAGCTACTTGCTGGCAACTTACGAGCACTCGCCAGCAGCTTACGAGCGACTTTCGAACCGCAACTCAGCGACTCTGGAACCGCAACACAGCAGCTTTCGAAGCGCAACTCAGCGACTCTGGAACCGCAACACAGCAGCTTTCGAAGCGCAACTCAGCGACTCTTGAACCGCAACTCCGCAGCTTTCGAAGCGCAACTCAGCGACTCTTGAACCGCAACACAGCAGCTTTCGAAGCGCAACACGGCGACTCTTGAAGCGCAACTCAGCGACTCTTGAAAACCGCAACACAGCAGCTTTCGAAGCGCAACACGGCGACTCTTGAACCGCAACTCAGCGACTCTTGAACCGCAACATAGCAGCTTTCGAAGCGCAACTCAGCGACTCTTGAACCGCAACACAGCAACTTACGAGCACGTCAGCAGCTCACGAGCGACTTTCGAGCCGCAAACCAGCTGCTTCCACGCCCTCCGCGCCAACAGAGCGCGCGCAAGCGCGCGTCGCGCTTCAAACAGCTCCGGAGCGCGACGGAGCGCCTCCAAACAGCTCGCGAACCCTCCGCGTGCCCTCAAAGTGCTTCCGATGCCGCGCGCGCCCGTTTTGCAAGCACTTTAGAGCCCCTACGATCGCGAGCCCTACGGGCTCCAGCCCTCAAAATCGACAGGCCCTCGAAGTATATGGAATTCTAGCCTATGTCTTGAAACTAGCCTCGTAGCTACTACAGAGTGGAGTGCTGGAACACCCTCCCCAGAGAGAGTGCCACCAATCATGCAAAGCCACGCACTGCAGGCGGCCGCCAGCAGCCCAGTGAACGTTATGCACCGGTTTCACCTCTATGGATTTGGCTTGACTGGGCCTCGTCGACTACGGCTGGAGCTGCGGCGCACAGACTTTGCGGGTGTTAGCCGTTCAGCACAAACTACGGAGCCTCACCGGTTTCACTTCTATGGGCCTCTCCCCCTTTGACCAAGGGGGGCAAGCAACTTCGCGGTCAGCGACGAATCAACCTGCAAGTAAGAAAATGAAATAGAAGCAGAAAACATGAAAATTCAAAGACAGTGTCTGTTCTTAACCGGACTTGTGCCAAGCGCAACTTTAAGCAAGCTGCCTCTATGCACTTGTGCCTTCCGGAAACCGCGCATGGTTTTGGCTAGGTGACCGTTTGGGGCAGAAACAACTGGAGACAAAGTTTATTGAACGGTATTAAAATCCCGTTTATCTCCACGGAGTTTTTGCCTTGTCTCCATAAGGCGGATTAAGCAGATGTTGATCGTGCCACGAATCATCCGATCCCGCTTCTTCGTCGGGGCCAGCCGTTTCTGTGCCCGCTTGAGCTGCTGAGCCGAGTGCAAACGAGCCGCGGAAACGGCTTCGTCTTGCTGTGATGTTTGATGGTGTCACATGTTCCACAATTATAAAGATGATGAGCTTGCACATGTGGATGCAATCGCAATGCAGGTTGAGGTTGATCGTCTTCTTGGGATTCCTGCTCTTGAGCACTGTTGGCAGATCCTGCCAGAGCACAAGCATTTGACCACCCGTTTTGTGGTGACATGGCGTTGCAAGACCATTTCAGGTTACACATATTGGCTCAGACGAGCCAGGCTTGTGGCCCGTGATTTTGCATTTTTGTGCCCAGGCCGCACCGATTTGTTTTCCCCTGCATCGAACGCGTTGCAAAGCAAGATCATCCCCTTTGTCTTCATTGATAACTAACAACTAACTACCATAAGGGTTGGCAGTTGGTATCATTAGATGTTACGGATGCTTACTTGAATTGCCCGCAGGCAAGAGGACGCATGCACAAGTGTTACGATCAATGGCGAACGCCTGCACTTCAAGCTTCTCAGGCTTCTTCCAGGCCAACGGGAAGGGAGCCAAACATGGTTCTATCAGTTTACCAATGCCTTGTAAGCGGGAAGCCGCGTCGAGTTGATGCAAGAGGTGCCATCGCTGTTCCGGTTCCAACCTGGATGGCGGAGGCGGAGGACTTGTGCACGTCGATGATTTACTCGGCACAGGCCCTGCAAGCGTGATCAAGTGCATGACCGATCATCTTGAAAGGGATTATAAAGTGACCGTGAATTTGATTTCGGTGCCGGGCCAGGAGGTTCATTTTCTTAAGAAGCGGCACTATCTTTTGTCGAGCACAGAGTTGCTGATTGAAGTGAGCCCAAAACACTTGGAAAAGCTGAAGTCGCTTTGTGGCCATCCCAAGCACCGAAAATCACCTCTCCCGTCCGGGCGATTGCCCACGGAGAAGGAGGACGATGCACCATTGTCCCAGGACCAGGCATTCCGTTTTCGGTCAGCCGTGGGAGTGCTGCTCTACTTGCAGTCTGATCTTCCGCATGCCATGCGCAGCATTCGCCACTTGTCAGGTTTCATGTCGTCCCCGACCGTTGGGGCATGGGCAATCCTGCGACACTTGGTTGGTTACTTGAGTGCCACTGAGGGGTACTGTGCATGCCTCACAGCCGGTGGCATCGCAAATTGCGTGCAAGTGCAACGCCCACGGATCAACGTCATCGAGACAATCAGTGATGCTGACTGGGGTGGATGCCGATCCACCCGACGCTCTGTTTCTTCATCTGTGATCCTTTGCAACAGCAAGTTCATCCATGCAGCGTCCAAAACGCAAAAGTCGATCGTGCTATCCAGTGCGGAATCTGAGTTTGGTGCTGCGGTATCAGCCGCGATAGATGGGACCTTTGTTGCAAGCATGATGCGGTTTGTGTCCCCAGAGCCAACGACACCGCCCCTCCTCATGATAGACAATTCCGCGGCGCTCGCGATCCTACAACGCGCCGGGGTCGGGCGCGTGCGCCATCTTGACGTGAAGTTGCTGTGGACGCAACAGAGAGTTGCAGAAGGCCTGCTGGAGGTGCTACCGGCACCCACGCGTACAAACGTCGCGGACATTGGCACGAAGCTCCTTGGAGTGCAGCGCGCAGAGTTCCTGCTTGGCTTGATTGGGTTTAGAAATTCCCGAAATGGTTATGCAAGGGTTGGTGATTGGTGATGCAATCTTGAATACCGAGCACAATGTCCAGGCCATTCGCAATGTGTGCAAGGATCTGTCAAAGATCGCAAAAGGTGATGCCACAGCCAATACCGCCCGCATCCTCAGCGTTATCTTGATTGCCATGCAGGCGACAGGCAGTTTGGGTGCGGAGGATGGCAATGATGCCAATGATGACGACGCGACTTTGAGCTTTTTTGAAGCCTTTCTTGAATCCTTAGTGCAGATCGCCGGCTATGCATCCGCGGTGTATGAAGCATACCCTTCAACATGTGTTGCGGTTTGCCAGTGCGTTGCAATCACTGCATTCTTGATGTGCGCGTTTATGTGTTGCGGCCGCCGGGTCACAGATGCTCCTGAGGCATCCGTTCAGGTGCGCGTTGGGAGTGGAGTTGCAGTTGATTCAGTTGATGTCAAGACAGCCCGCGTTGCAGAGCCGAAGGCCAAAGCAGTTGTGCAGGTGCGTGGAGCGCGGCCCAAGACCGCGAGCAAGCCAGTGTGTGATGATGACGATGAGCGAGCCCAGAGTGGGCCCAGAGTCCTGGTGCACATGAGGCGCAGGCTGGCAGGCCAGGATCGTCGACCGATCATGTGATGCGGTCCAGCAGTGAGGCCAGCGAGAGGATCCTGCGAGCACGCCCGATCCCACAGCGTCGGGCCCCACAGTCCAGGAACACCGATGGCGTGTGGATCTCGACTAGTCAGGGCTACGCTTATCATAAGGCTACATGTGGCAAGTTGAACCAATCGCAAGGCGTCGCTGAGGTGTCGCGTGCAGTTGCTGTTGATCGCGGCTACCGCGCATGCCGCATATGCAAACCTTGAGTGAGTGTGCCGAAACTTCTTGTGATGCCGTGCCGTGCGCTTGAATCTTGCTTTATAATGCTCATGAGGCACATTGGATGCCATGTACATAGTCAGTCATTTGTGCCACGGCGCAATTGATTGACAGGCTGCTGATGGATCCTGTACATAGCTTGACAACGTGCGGTGTGGACGGCGTGAAATCACTTGAACAATGGCGTGCAGCATTTTGCTGCCAATCCGAATGATGCCACATTTCCTTGAGCCGTGGAGCGGCTCACAGCTGCGATGAGGCGCGATTGGCGCCCACAACGGTAACTAGGCCGTTGCAACCTTGTTTTGCCAGTTGGGCGCAGAAAGCGCATGAACCATCATGAATCCGCCTTCTCTTGACAACTTGAAAGGGCGTCCGCTTGTGCCAGTCAAGCTTCCATCATGCGTGCGTGAATGGGTTTTATTTCCCGCCGAAAGTGTAGACAAAGTTTTGTCGTAAAAGGAAAACAGTGTTTTCACTTGTGTGTTGTGAACACTAGACAAACTTTGCCGTGCAGCTTTCGGCTTGAAGTGGATCTGTGATCCAAAAGTTTTTATCTCTTGTGCTGGTGGGCTAGTAGTCCCTTTGATCTAAAGTGATCTTCTAGTAGAGTAGCGGCGGGCTAGTAGCCCCTTTGATCCAAAGTGATTTTCTGGTAGAGTAGCGGTGGGCTAATAGCCCCTTTGATCCAAAGTGATTTTCTTGTAGATTAGTGCTGGGCTAGTAGCCCCTCTGTCG